ATTGATTGATTGATTGATTGATTTACTTACGTACTTATTTATCTATTTATTTTTTATGTGGTTCAAAATTTCCATTTGGGTTGTCGGGTAAATATGTGTCAAATTCTGAGCCTTGCTCATATTAAATCCACAACATTTTCGATTAACTTCATAATGACAGCCTCTGAATCCTGAAAATCTTCGCCAACGTGTAAATGTGATGGATATCTCTTGTGAGTGTAGTCAGAATCGCAGATTATTAAGATCGTGACGTATGTTATCTGAACAAGGGAGCTAATTACCGATTCAATATGCGTGGTAGTCTCAAGGAAATTAAAAGTAAAACAAAGCAAACCTATATCAAAGGAGGAGGGGTCACTAAGCCAGAAGTCATGCCTTCAAGTACTATATTGACACAAGAGAGGACGAGTTGGCCCTTTGTGCCCCACTTCCGCATGAAAAAGAGGGTGGCCTGAATTATCTCAGTAATATAGAAAAAAGGTCCACTCTGACCCATAGAAAACTCAGTGGCACCATTCCTAGCTAACACTCTTAGGGAATTGTAGATATTAGAGTTTTATGGTCAAAATTTTATAGTCAAATTTTTCTGTAGATATATTGTAGTTGTAAAAGAAATGAATAGGGCAACAAGTTTATCAGCAAATTTTGTCCTATATCACGTTAAATAGTAACTGCATAAGTATTTCAGATTTCTTCCGCCTAAGTTTTGGTCGTAACAACTACTTTGTACGTGCACTATTTCTTTCCTCATTTTAGTTCTAAGCCGGCAAAGTTCACACCCGTCTGGCATAGAATTCCTCTGAAAGCTACTGAACTTCAGCAGATTACACGTCGAAATAAGTAAGTGATTGCAGTATGCTTTCGTTTAACATGAATTAATTACTTGTAAAGTAATGTCCCTTGAGATGCCGTATAAACAGTCCTGTTTGAAACGCACATTAAAAATGTTTTTCATTTTATGAGATAATGATTTTGCAAGGCAATTTTTCTCTTTTATGAGCAAAAAAGTAACACTTAATCTAATTGAGCCTTATACATAGCAAATGTCTGTGACTCTAGAAGACATTTCAATAATTGTCATAGGCTACGAGCCGGGAAATATATTTTATATATTATATTTTTAACATTAAAGATTTTTCTTCGGACTTTCAATCAATATCATTCCAGAGCTAGGAAATTAAGTTACCAGTCAAACAGTATATTCGCAGATCGCTGGAAAACTGGTTCGTTCATTTCCTCAGAGCCGTCAAGTTTGTTTACAAAAGAGTCCTGCAGATTTCTGTAATCTCTGACGGCTTCCACCATGTTCGATTGTAATTCCATAGCTAAGTGATTCTCTGTAAGCAATTGGAAGCTAAGGCTTGGGAGCCTATCAACTGTTAACTGGTGAAAAACTGCCAAACCTTTTTACGATAGATGGCATGCCTCGTCCACACCACGCCGGAGAAATCTGAGAAGGCAGTTTCATTTCTACGGTCAGGCCTACCTTCCACACTAATCCATCCGAAAAAGTTCTTTAAACCGGAGGATTTTGAAAACGCTGACTTTGCACTTCAGTGTAGACGGAAAACATTCTGAAAACGCAGCTTTTCAAACACAATGACGTCACCATAATCACGTGATTTTCCTGCGCGAGTTTTCTTCAAACAGAAATCCAAACTGTCCGGTGATTGTTGCGTTTTCACATTTCTCCGGCGTAGTGTGGACGAAAAACATTTGATGCGTTTTCAGAGTGAAAACGCCGTTTTCAAATTTCTCGGGCGTAGTGTGGACGGGACATTATTGTGAAAAATTTTGTTCCAGGAATGTCGCCTCTATCAGTCTCCCCCTTAAGTAATGCGATAGATAGGACATAAAGTAACTTGATTTCTGAGTCACTTATCTAGAAAACGGTGTCTAGCATTTATTTATATTTATTCTACTTTCATATTATATTGATTACGTTTTCCAGGTATGGTAAGTTTTCTTTTGTTTCTTTATTGGTGTTCTACTCTACTGTAAGTTTTGTATTTCTGAATATTTAATCTTTTTTTAAAAAAATGTTAACTCTTGCACATTTTTAGGACCCCATATGGCTGGCATTCCAGAAGTTGACTCATCAGGCAGCACCGACAGTCTGAGCCCTTTGAGCAACATGTCAGGACACGGACCTTTTCCACTCTACATTTTCACTCCAGCCGGTTACACGACAAAACTTTCTTTGTTGGTATCAATGGGGACTGTGGGACTGTTGGGCTTCGTGGGGAGTTGTTTAATACTGTGTTTTATTTCCTCGAGGAGACAGGCGTTATACCTGCAGTCAAGTCGCTTCACGAAAAATCTCAATTTCTATATACAGAGCTTAGCTCTCTCCGACATGTTCTCTGCCATAGTATCACTTCCCCTAACTTGCATCCAGATTTATTTTGACCTCTTTCAAACTCACTGGGCTTGTAAGATAGTTCGCTACATCAACATTGTGTTCCCTATTATAACTATCAATAATTTGGTAGTGATAGGTATGGAGAAGTATTTATCGTTAAGGAGAGTGCCCCGCACCTTAAAAGTCTCAACGGTTCGTAAATTGATCTTTCTCGCCTGGTTAGCTGGATTTGCGATAACTCTGGTTCCTGCTGCCACATTTAGGGGGATTAGGTACGATCTAAATGCGACCCACTTCACGGTCATCTGCAAGTATGATAGAGAATACTTACCATTTCGACTTATGTTTCTATCATTTACTGTAGTAGTGTATGTTCTCCCCAGTATATTTCTCATAGTGGTGAATATCTCATTAGTTAGAACGGTGTGGGTCAAAGTCAAAATGACAATTTCCATTCAGGTAAAGAACCCCATCAAGGCAAGACTGAGGGCTGCGAAAATTCGAGGAACGTTTCTTCTAATTGCTATCACGTTCGCCTTTGTCATTCCCTATTTTGCGTATTTGGGTTACGTGACATACAACATGATCGCCAAACCCGATATTGATTTTCAAACAGATTACATAATTCGCTATGCTAGCGGGGTGCTCGCATTTTCCAACAGTGCTATCAATTTTGCTATATACATTGTGCAGATGAAAGATTTCAGGGTATTTCTAAAGAAAATTGTTTGTGGTTCGAGTTTTGTTGAGCATTCTGTAGAGAGCTACCCTATGCGGGGTACGACTTTAGAAACTGCTCAGCAGGCCATGGAAATGAACAAGATCGAGCCAAGGGATAAAATATGTGTTAAGTAAAGAAGTTAAAGTTAGCTACCAATAGTGACACCGAGGAAGTTTGGTGGTGAACGGGCTGGAAGCATTTTGTCTCCCTAAAACAGCTTCCATCTTAAACACTAACACTGAGGGCGCTTAAAGTCCAGGCGTTTCTTCCTTAGCAGTGGTAAACCAAAATAGAGACTTCCTGGTTTTTTCTCAATCATGCCCTAGAGGTGCAATATCTCCTCTATGAATGACTTACCCAATCTTCCTAATCATGCAATAATTAACAACAGTTGCAAAAATGTTGTTAACAGATAATTTGCACCTGACTCCATCAGAATTGTAAATTGCGAACCACTTTTTCCATAAGGTTGTTCATTTTGGGCATGTCCTTTGTGTTATAAACAATGAAAAAGTTCATGCATATTCTTATCTACCACTATAAGCTAATGTTAAAGACGCGTTGCTTTAAAACTGACACCGGTCGTGGATCCCCCTCCCCCCCGAGATCCACTATTTTTACTCTGTCTATCGGCCTTAAAATGTAAAACTGTAGTAAAACGGTAGTGCACTAGTCAAGGAAGCTATTCATAGTTTTAGTCGTTTCTGGGACTTGTTTTGGTTTGCATGTCGGTGACAGAAAGTTTAACACCGATATGGCCGATATGGCATGTAAAGAAAATAGACTTGAAAGGGGATCTTAAGAAACACATCCAAATCAATACCATTGCCACTTTATTTTATTTATCTCTAATTTTTTCTGCACTGCAGTTATTTTTTTGCTGATAATAAAATATTTAATATATACTACACGCAGCCGCTGAAGCATGGAGTAAATGAAGGAGTTTGAAACATACATGTTCCATCTGTGCATTTTTTTAACCGAGAGAGGTTTCGCTGTCTTTAGGGATTTTGACTAGTACATGTACTCTGTGTTCACCAAACAAATTTATCACTTAAAAATTCATTCCCGACCAAAGAAATACTGAAATGGAATATCTTCATTGACGTTTTTTCTTAAGCATCTCAGCGGTACCTTAAAATTTGATTGGCTGATTACGCCTGGCAGTTTTTCACTATACAAACCACTAGTCACGGACCGCTCACATCTCCTTGCTTGAACCTTTAGGTACTGGTTCACTTTGAACTATGTAAGCTATGTTTACGTAAAAAAAAAAAAAGAGAAATCCGGTGCAAAATCTCTTGTCTTGAGTGCGCGCCGACATTCAAATGGCTGTTTTACTCTGTGTATCCTTCAGGTTCAAAAATCTTTCGTCCATAGAGTCTTTAAAACACTTACATGTATTCTCAAGTATGAATGAGTGGAAATGCTGTTCCTGTGCAAGATCTGCACCGAAAAATTCAACGCCAGCCGTCCGTTTTCAAGAACAGTAAACTTGCCTGCTGTAGAGCACTAAGTCAAACCTGCATGTTTTTTTTGTACAAAGTCAAACCGCTTGTCAATCCTATGGCCTCCATTTAACATTCCCAACGCCGTGAAATTGTCTTTTGAGCGACTGAGGATCTGCCCAGCCAGAGTTAAGGTAGCTGTCATCTTCGTCGGTTTCGAGTTTCTGTGAAGTCAATGCCAAAAACTTTTAGTTCTCTTCCAATGTTTTAAAGGAATTACGAATTTAGTGTTGCTTTTCTTCGACAAAACTTTCCAAAGGTGAATGAAACCCTCTTACACGTAGTCTTAAGTATAAAGTATATTTCCATACTGATTGCCGGAACTTTCTTTGGATGTTATTTCTGTGTACAGGCTCCTTACAGTTTGTAGAGCTAGTACAACAAGGCAACATCCCCAGGTTAGCGCTTTTCGTTAATTATAATCACCCGCCTATTTGATAAAGAGCCGATACTTTGAGGTCAGTGACTTCAGTCCATAATTTTAGGATCCAACGCAAGCTGAAGACGAAAGCTTTTGTAATCAGCCCGCGCCCAAAGTAAATTTTATTACATTTGATAAGTTTAAGAGTCAACTGGGTTTAAAACAAATGCCACACCAGCTTTAAAAATACAAAGCTACCACGCACAACGCGATAAAGGATTACCCATGGAGCCAACTTGAAGAGAAAGTATCAGGAGACATTATTTTGTGAGTTAGACAATCGTTGAACCAACCTTAAGCTCTTCTTGTTTCCTGTAAGCATAAGCCATCATTTGTTTACGCTGTTCTTCACTGAAAACAGGTTCTCTGCTCGGTGGCCCTTGTCCCTTCTGCAATAAACAAATTAATTAATTAGTTCCCACTGGGGAAGCTTTTAAATCGAACGGCTCGGAGCAAAGTAAGAGGCAAGGGTTAGTAATGTATGTGGACTTGTATTGGTTTTGAAATCTATTGATTAACATGGTCATCTGGGATCGAGCTCACACTGGGTTCACAGTGCTGGGTTCTGAGACACGACATTT